GGTTGAGTATTAAGTATTCGTAGTAGTTTTAGTCTTAGTGTTCGTGTTCGTATTCGTATTCGTAGCCGTAGTCGTAGTCGTGGTCGTAGTCGTAGTCTTAGTCTTAGTCTTGGTCTTAGTTTTAGTCTTAGTCTTAGTATCAGTATTAGTGCAGCAGTTCGCAGCTTGTGCCCCGATGTGCCTATATGCATGTGCCACGGGATTGCTGTTCTTTTAGGTCTTTAGCTGGGCAGTTGTGGAAAGCAGCAAGCGGGGTTGAGAGGTAGCATCAAACAGCGCGGTTACCTTCCACATCCTTCCACCATCCACGGAACCATGAACCTTGAAACACCCTGTCACGTGGAGGCATCCGTCACTGCGTCACTGCTCGAGGCAGCAACTGCGGCATGTTGATGTCTTCACGAGCGATCACGTTCTGGCTTCGCCCCCGTGTTTGAAGAAGGATGTTGGATCTTGCATGTCTATAGCCGTGGCTTTGTTGGAGCATGTTTTGCCATGTCTCATCTAGCGAAGCCTCCAAAAACCACGCATGCCTGCGCCAGCGGAGCAAAGCACCCGTTGTGCTCAATCTGTTTATATATCGGGCGCTTGACCTCAGGTACAGTCGTATCCAAACAAAGATGTTGTTCGATGGCTATACGTCCTGAGATGTCCTGAGCTACCAAGCCTCCAAGTCGTAAAAACTTGTAGCGGATGCTCACTTAGAGAACAGACTGTGGACACACATACAGGGATTTGGCACCCCATCTGAGGCCCACTGCAATTGATGCGGAAACGAAAGCGGCGATATGCAACAATTGACCGGGCTCCTTCCTGACCCTAGATTGCATATATTGCGTGCAGTGTTTTGGCATCAAAGGACACAGAGCTGGTAGAGAATCCCCCTTTAAGCGCGACATCAAATGCTCTCGCTTCTGCGCATAGTGCCTTTTTGCCTTTTGTACCTGGCCATGGCTTCGGGCTCTGCAAACACGAGCTCCACGGAGTCGCCTCCACGTCCAGCTCATGCCTTCGGCGTATGGCGCTCTCGCAGAATCGCCGAAACGATGTCAGACCTCCGTGCAGTTCCAGCGCAACCCGCGGACGATTGTGTGGAATTTCTACAGAAAGCGGAGACGACATCCACTCAGGCGGCTTGCTTGGATGATCTTATGATTGCGATCCCGAAAGCATGCACTGACTGCGCAGCCGTGCATTGTGGTCTCCAGATGGCCTGCGAAAAGTATGTAGCATTCATCCGAGAGGAAGATCCGGATGGAGCGTCAACTCTCATCGAGGCATTTGAGGCAATTGACTTCATGCACAAATCATGCCCATGCTGAGCCGTAAACGTATTACTGTTGCGAGGAGCCGAACAGTTTCCTTTGAGAGTGTTGGGTTTGTCTCATACTTCCTCTGCGGTTGGCCGACCAGGTGCAATGCAGCCGCGCTTGGTTGTAGCAACGGCATAATTTCAAGGATGGCAAGATGCCGCTTCAATCGCTTAGCGGAACAAATCTATTATTGATGCAGCAGTTCGCAGCTTGTGCCCCGATGCGCCTATATGCATGTGAGAGGGATTGCCGACATGCCATCATTCCCACGGTTCTCTTTTTATTCATGCTGTTCTTTTAGGTCTTTAGCTGGGCAGTTGTGGAAAGCAGCAAGCGGGGTTGAGAGGTAGCATCAAACAGCGCGGTTACCTTCCACATCCTTCCACCATCCACGGAACCATGAACCTTGAAACACCCTGTCACGTGGAGGCATCCGTCACTGCGTCACTGCTCGAGGCAGCAACTGCGGCATGTTGATGTCTTCACGAGTGATCACGTTCTGGCTTCGCCCTCCGTGTTTGAAGAAGGATGTTGGATCTTGCATGTCAGGATCCGGGCCCCGAAACCTCGCGGGAGTTTCGCCAGGACGCAGCCCAGTCATGCGGCTGGCGGGGTCATAGACTCAGCGGACTTCCACACCTTCTTTTCCCAGATGCCGCGGACTTTGGCCTACACAGAGGTTGGATCTTCCCGAGCACCAGAAATCTCGGGTGAAGCTTCTCAGAAAGGAGCGCGTGTCCGAGAAAAGTTGTAGACCCAAATATCCCACCAAGCTTTGCTGCTCTGCTCCGCGCATGTTGATGCCAGGAGTTGAATCACCCTGCAGCCTGGTCACCCCATGGTCCATACAAGGAATACGCCTGGCGTAAAATTCTGCGACTGCCGCCGTTGTGGGGCCAGAGACTCAGCAGACTCAGACACTTTATTTCAGTTCCAAGATGCCGCGGACTTTGCTTTGCTGCCTGCAGGCATGGAATTTTCTTCGGTTTGGGTCGTGAGAGGAGCCCAACGCAAGAAGTTGACGTGCACCAAAGTGGAGGCTTCTTCGAGGCCGGTCACGTGGTGCCCGCTGCTCTGTGCTATTCTGTGCTCGTTGCTTTGCATCACAAGGTTCCTACGCTCGGAGCACTACGTGGAGTTCTCGGGGCTGAAACTCAAAGTGCAAATCGTGGAGGACCTTTACAAGCTGGAGTGGATCTGTCAGCATCTCAGCACAGCGGCCTTCGGCGGCAGTTGCGGCTTGCGCTTCCGTGGCGAAGCCTTTTCGGCCCTAGGCTTGGAGATCAGCAACGGCGGGCACGCGCGGCCCTGAGTTGGAAGAAGCACAGCTGGCGGCCAGCAGCACGTCTTTTGAGCTTTTGAACTGCTGAGTTGCTGAGGTGGCGGCCGAGACTTCGACATTTCTGCAGCGGACACTGTGGGGAGGACTTGCCCGCAGCTGGGCTTTTCGGGCTGCCGTCAGACGTTCAGAGGCCCTCCGGGCTGCGAAAGCAGCGCGGAAAGCCTTCGACAACATCAGCAGCTTGGCTGTGCCTGGCAGCCGGCAAAATCCACATTTCAGTTTTGCAGGAAGCTGAGCTCGGAGAAAGCTGAAGTGGTGAAGGGCGCGTGCGCGTCTCCTTCGAATCCTTGCAGAAGCTGCTGGGAATCTCGGCATGCCTCAGGTCCTAAGTGTAGGTCACTTCCCGCGAAGGGCCTAGGATAGTTTCGTTGGCAAGACCTGCTCTGAGGAGATTTTACCTCCTGAAGCGGCTGGGCCAGCAGTTGATCCAGGGCTTCTTGAAATTCAGCGCCACGTGCTAAGCCGAAGCCTAGAACTTCCTGCGAATAAAGGCTGCGAGAAAGTGGCGGAGCACACGGATTTATGAGTCGGGAAAATTGTGCGAGTTCAGTGAAATGCTGCTGAACGCGCCGGCAGGGATTGCAGAATCCTCTACAAGTACGAATGATTTCAAGAATTCAGCTGCCTGCTAAGGCTGCTGGTCCGCAAACACATCAGGCAATCGGAAAGTAGACTTAAGCGACCTCAACTTTTTCTGGTAGGACACGTTTGTTTGCGGAAGCTAGCTGGAGATTGCGAAGCAAACCCGGCCACAATCCTTGGCCCTCCGCCGCAAGTATACGGACTTAAAACGGCCCCTTCGTTTCTCGAACCAATCCCTTAGAGTAACCCTGTTTCGTTGGGCCAAAGTTGGCACCATAAGGTCGCGCACGAGCCGACTGGCCGGGGCACTATTGGGGATTTGACATGGCATAGCAGTTTCAATGGAAACACAGCCTGCAAGAAGTTTGCTGCTCCATGAACTGCGCATCGGACAGCGACAAGATATAACATGTTGTTGAATCCCTTCAGGAACACGGTGCATTGAGTGCCGGGCCTAATGCCGAATCTTCCAGCTTCGTGGGAACTCGGCTGGAATGAAAACTCATGTCTGACTGCACGGGACAAGCCAGCTTTCCCTGATGCTGAGTTTCCTTCCTTGGCGCATGCCTGCATGCTGCCAAAGGCAGCTAGGAACGAAGACTTACGCTTTTCCCTGAGCGGTCACAGCATCGGGACGATGTTTTTCTTAGTTCGGCCGGCATGCGTGGACTGCAAACCCCACCATGAGCCTCAGAGAGTCAGAGTGCTAAGTTGTTGCCGAGATGGGGTATGCGAGCCAGGCAGTACGGCTGCAGTGCACGGTGCGGCATGGCTTGTGGAGCTATCATTTGGGCACATCGCCACAGCAGAAGCAACTCGAAAACTGCACAACGATCAGCAGAGGAACGGATAGGCACAGGACAGCCTCGGTAAAGCTATCATCGTATGTGTCCGATGGGCTCGAGCCTTGCAAGCACTCCCCAACGGCTTGCACATCTCTTGAAAGAGAGTGCCTGAGCGTTGGGATGTCTGTGAGAGACAGTTTGCTCAGAAGCAGTGGCTTGCTGGTACGTAAAAGATCTTGACACCTTTAACCTCTGGCTATAGCGGCCATGGGAAAGAGAAGCAGATCGTCTTCAAGCTCCTCTTCGGACTCCGACTCCTCCGAGGAGAAGAAGGCCCCGTGGGCTTAGAGCTTTGAGTCCAGGGGCGTGTCCTTCCTGATGCCATGGCCAGGACAAGAAGAAGTCCAAGAAGGAGAAGAAGAAGGATAAAGAAAAGAAGAAGAGGGTGCGTACGTGCACAAAGTGTGATTGGCCTAGCTGTGGCCTCTTTGCAGCATGTGGCCGTTCCAGAGTAAGTAGAGTATCAAGGACAAGAAGAAGAAAAAAGACAAGAAAGACAAAAAGACACCCGGCAACCTCAGAAAGTGCGTCAATGGTTATCAGGCTGAAAATGGCAGTCGTGAGCATGATGACAATTGACGACAGAGCATCATAAGCTCAGGGCTTGGTGGCTTTGGGTTTGGTATTGGCAAAGAGCCGTTCGGAATGGGTTACGCGTGGTTGCTCCCCGAAGTGTGCGGCGCAGTTCAGTGTAGCGCTGGCACCGATGATCACCGATGAAAGTGCGACAACAGTCTGCTAGCTTTCGTGACTTCAGTGTTCTGATGCTCTCATACACATGGAAGGTGTGAGGTTTTTTCCCACTTAGAGATTCAACGTGCCAGGGGGATGACACCCTCTTTTCAGGGGGGTAGATTGTTCAGAGTGCCTGCCCTTGTAAAGGGTAGAGGCTTCCTCCGTGCATGAGGACTGTGCTATGTCAAGTCTTTCGATCCAAGGGCGAGCAAAGAGCAAGAGGCACCAAAGGCAACCCTTGGGTTTTCATTTTCCCGTCCTTTGCTGTAAGGTGCTTTAAGAAGCCTTGGCATGCCTTTGGCCTTCTCCGGTCCTGATGTGAGCAGAAGATGATAGCCAAGGCCAGGTGCCCATGGTCCTACCTCGAACGGGATCTGCTGCCGAGGCTGGTAGTGCAAAGTATACGATCGCTGCTCCAACACCAGAAGTGTGGGCAGGGACGTCGTTGAGAGCTGTCCGGTTTGTTTTCAGGGTGCAGTATGCTAGTGCAGGTTAAGCCGTTAAGCAGTCAGCTCCTGGGTCATCCCCGGCTTACCTCAGAGGCGGTAGCGGTAGAGATCGGAGTCTCATGCCCCTGGGATTGCAACTCCCACAAGACTATGAAGATGGGGAAGAAGGGCAACCAAGTGGTAATCGACGATCTCTTCAGGAGCATGAACGGCTATTACGTGGCAGTGCGGTCCCGGTGGCTGTGTCGGGGGCTGAGCCGCTGAGCGGGTGTTGGCAGCAGCAACTGCAGGAGCAGCAACTGCAGGAGCGCGAAACCTTACAGTTACAGCGAAGAGGAACAATGACAACAGGTGTGCTCATTCAGTCGAGAATGACAGATGCCAATCTTGAGCAGCTAACATTTACGTGACACGAAGGCCTGGCAACACTCCAGAAGTGAACGACGTTGGGCGCTTCCATCAAGCAAAGGTGCTTTGTTTCTTAGACGTTTGAGTCCGAATCTTTGCTACAAACAGCATGTGCAAAAGCCATTGCACAGGCACGACTCGATGCACTTCGGGCAGCTCACCAGAAGCCTGAGAAGAACGTGGGATACACCGTACGGAAGCCCAACTGGTAACAAAGGCGGAGCGCACCAGTTTTTAATCGCAGATTGGCATTGAATCTATTTTATCAGATGCTCTTATAAGACTTGTCCAAATAAGCCTTCTTGTATTATGTATTTAGTAGCGTTCCACCTAGACCCTGCTTGTTTGGCTCCTGATGTCGTGAGGTGGGGTTGCGATTCGCCCACTATGTACAATGCTCGCACGGGCCATCTCGGCTCAGCTGTCGGAGCCGCAAGCCCGGAAGAAGACCTCCTGGGCGCAGTCCGGCAAGGTTCGCGTCAGCCGATTGAACTGCCGGAACATGGGAATGCGAATCAACTCCAGCATAAGAATGACTTGCCTGGGTTGGCACGTTGCAATCATGTGGGGATCTCTGCGGCCCGACTCGCCGACGGAATCGTGATGACTCTGGCATTCCCGCCCCGAGGTGCACACGCTTTGACCTCGGGGTGAAGGAACCTTTGACAGTGCATGTTGTGATTTGTTGTGATGAGGCTCGAGGATGCCCGGAAAATATCGAAACGCCGCTGGAGGCTCGAGGTCATCTCGAGGAGATGTCCTGTCTGCAACATAACAAGCTCATCAAACTGCACTTAATGAGTCTCGACTCGGTGTTGTAGTGGAGTCGACTGCTCTCGTGAGATGAATATGCCAAATCCTTTCCGACTTGGCTGCGGTAGTTTTCGTGAAATTGCCGGCAAGCTGCTTGTTGGTGAGATCTAGAGTCGAGACTCTTATATAGACTATTGTCAGACAAGGAAGCATTGCTCATGATGGTTCCACGGCTGCGGCGCAAAGAAAGAGATCGGCTTCCAGTACCGGACCGTGGACCAACGCTGCCCTCGCCTGATGTAAACTGGCAGGGTGTGCAAATCGCCTTTGTCGGACCAGCTGCCCATGATTGTGGATCGGCTGTATCGAAGCTGTTTCGGCTGTGATTTCTGAAGAGCATGGGGAGGCAGGACAACATCCAGATCTGAAGATGCCCGCAATCAAACTTCTTAAGCGCAGTGGGCAGGGGTTCATCGTGCTTGTAGATTCGTGATGGTAGGGAGTAGGCTTCGCGGCAACGGCGTGGCGACTGGCAGCGCGTTCAGCAAGGCTTGATTTCTTTGCCGTCCCAGTTGCACGTGGGATCCGAACGCCACACTGCAAAGTTAGCTTGTGGCAAGAAGCTGAAGCCGGGATCAGTCAAGGCTTGGATGGAGGTGTTGTACTACGTTCCACTTCTAGTGTCGTTGTTTGAGTAGCGGACACGTACTCTTGCTCGCGACAGGAGGCCTTCGTCACGCGCGTCAGCTTCGGTAGCGGCTTGCCTTATCATCTGTTGAGTCGCCTCGAAGTAGGATGAAGGGAAGCCTGCAAAACGATTGCTTTGCTTTCTCCCGAGTTAAAAGTTCCTTCCGGCCGAGTAGAACTGAGGTTGGGAGTTGGCCCAGCGGTGTTGACGACACGCCTCCAGAACATCACAGCCACAGTTTGCAGACCGAGCCGCCGACCAGTGCAGCTGTTGCACAAGAGCGACCAGAGTTTCGCAGTTCTTTTCGTTCCGATGACGCTCGCCGAGCAGGTCGACGTGGAGGCATCCCATGCCATGACCTGTGCCTGAAGCAAGGGCTTGTCGATGCACGTGGTCCTGATGCATGCCGCTGCTGAGGTTGTGTCCAAGACTGCACGGCCACAGCTTGCATGTCGAGCCGCCGACCAGTGCAGCATCGACAGGTCTAGAGCGACCAGAATTCCGCAGTTCCGCTCTTCTCGAAAATTGCGTGGCACGTGCCCCTTGCCTTGCTGGCAGATGCCGGCAGAGGTTTCCAACAGTCTGTGGACCTGCAACAAGACGTGCTTTCGTTGCACGAGAGAACGGTTGAGATAGGCATCTGAAGCGGCTCGATTGTAAGAAGAGGTCTGCCCGTGCTGCACGGCACCGCCTCAAAGAAGGCCTCAGCCCAGGTGAATAATTGCTGCTTGCCACCGCCTCTGCCTGAGCCTCGGCCCTCCCATCTCGCAGCCCTCACGCTGGCGCTGGCACCCCACCACCCGATGCGGGCTTGAAGTGAGGCTCGCCCGAGCCTGCCGCAGACTCAGCTCAGTAGACCAGCTTTCGGATCTGTACTTGCTGGTCCCGCACGTGACAAGCACTGGGACCCGAGTCGAAAGGTTTTGTTCGTCCTGCGCAGAGGGTTGCCGGTCATGGGCTGCTTGGATCCTGCCGTTTCCGGCCCTTCCCCGCAATTCAAACTCCCCGCTCCTGTGCCCAGCTTTGCAGTCGCCTGTCGCAGCTCCTCCGCCTCGCTCCTTGTTTCAATGGTGCGAGAAGCGGTGCCCGTGTCAAGGCCTGGACGGCTAGCGGCTAGCTCCGCTCTTGACCTCGGGGATTCTTGGCGAACTGGGGCCTGTGCAGACGCGTTATCCTGTGTTTACCCGCCGCAAAAGCACAACAATGTACATGCCACTGTTTTCGCAGCCCTCAGGTTTTCGACTTGGCAGCGTCGACGTGGTGGCATCCCATGAGGTGTGCCTGAAGCAAAGATTTGTCGCGGGGACGGGGTCCGGACGCTACGTCCTGCGCCGCGAGCAATTGCATTAGTAATAAAGACGTACGACGTAAGCGTTTGAGTTGCTGCTGTGATTTTGCCGAGCGGCCTCATCGGCCCCAGCAGAGCTCCGGCTGGCGCTCACCAAAGGGACCACTGCCGCGGCTCCTGCAAACAGATGTTCTGTTTCTTTGGCGAAGTCCTCGAAAACCTTCTTCAAGCCCGGGTCTATGCCCTCCAGGAGCTGCTTCGGCTCATGGAATTCATGTGACGAGTGTGTATGATCCTCTTTCGCCACTTGTTGTCCACTGACCTGAGTCTGTAAGGCCTGCAATTGTTGCATCAACAGGCGATTCTGCTCCATCAACAACTTTGTAACTGATGGACTATTTGACGGCAATGCCTGTGGTTGTCTAGGCCTGCCCGCTGCGGTGAAAGCCGAACGTTCTCTGAGCTCACCGTCTTGTTCGTGACCAGAGGTCCTTCCTCTGACCAAACCACTTGCAGTTGTGAAGGATGGAGCTCTAGCGAAACCGGGATCACCTCCACCTGCCAAACCCCCAGCAGATGAATGCGCCACAAATGGGCTAGTCCCAGAACCGCCAGACATTTTTGGCGAGTAACTTGAAGTCTGCACTGCACTACTTTTGATAAGGTACTCAAGCCGATCACAACACGCAGCTTTTACATCCACGTGGCCATCAACGAATCCGAGCTTTCGTTCACAGAACTCATTCAGGGCTTGGCCACATAAATGGCTGCGCACATGATGCGTTACATGGGGTCACGTGCTCAACGCGACCTCTGTACGCGGAATGAAGACAGACATAAAAATTTTTTTGGTCCCACCCTCAACCGACCCTTTGACCAAAACATCGCCATGTGTCTCCGTAGCGCCGCTGGAACATGTTTTTCCCAACGGTCCAACAGAGACCCAAGTGAACATGTGGAACAGAATTCTTCAACAAGGAAGCGTATTTACAGAGCTTTGCTCTCAGCCATGAGGCTTGAGTCCCTTTGTTGAAAGATACTTTCACAAACACTTTGCGAGTCTTGGAAGACATATTCCCATTGCCAGCTCCTTTGAGCTTGTAACTACGCACTAACTTGTCAGAAGCAGCGAGGCTGTAGCCTCTTTGTTTGAGATTGCGTTTGAACTCTGTCAGGCTTCGCTCCGCATCAGCGCTGAGCCGATTGCGACGCTGACAACGTATGAACCCTCCAATTTGCAAGGATTTAAACGCAGCTGGAGGATGATTGCTACAAGCAGGAATGTACAAGTGAAGATTTTGTGGCTTGTTAAAAAGACTCCACGTCACACTTCTATCATCCTGTATGCCCAGATTCACATCCAAATATTGAACTTGCCGACTAGCCTCCATACTTCCTGACAGCTCAAACTTCAGGGAAGGGTGCCATCGATGCAAAATCTCACCAAGCCACTGATGAGAACCGCGACATAACAGAAGCAAATCGTCAACATATCTGCGAATGAACTGCAAGAGCTCACCCGCTTGCTCAGCAATGAAGCAATCCAAATGCCAGAGATAAATGTTTGCAACGATGCTAGCAACCGCTAGCCCAGTCGGAATGCCGTCTGTACTTTCATATTTACAGCCTTCGAACGTAACGAAGCATGCGCTCAATATCAACTCCAGGGCACGAATCACGAAAGTGCACAAAGAATGACTTGGCATCCTCGTCCGCAGAAAACCGCTGATGACCGACAGGAAATGGCATCGATCCACTGACGGATACAAGTTCACAACGTCGAATGTGAGAAACTTCATTCCAGGCCTACACTGCACGGTGCTCAACTCTTCAAGCAACTGGTCGGTGGAAACCACAACAGATTGCAGCTTACTCAGCAGCGGGTTTAGTTGTTCCACCAAAAAAGTTGCAAACGGAGCCATCCAAACACCTCGCAAATTGCATATAGGTCTAGATGCGGTTGGGATCTTGTGGACTTTGACAAGAATTCTGAAGGTACCTGCGCGTTTTTCATGTAGTGTGCCGAGTAAAAACCGACTAATGCCATCGGAAAGCGTGCCTGACGAACGAAAAAACTGCACCAATGCATCTGCATGTTGTTTGCAGCCGTCCATCCTGGTCTGAAAATCGTAATCCGATATCTGTACAAACCCCTGAGAAAGTTGGGAATAAACTTGCTGACGAATCCATGCCCTCGACACAAGCGCATCTCCAAGTCCCTTGTCGCAGTCCACGACTGCAATGCTATCACGGTGTTGCGCAAGCCATGCCAAAGCTTTCCTATCAAGCCAAGACCAATTAGCTCGCGCAGTCTGGAACTCATAACTTGCAACCCGCTTCAGCAACCTCATGAAAATGTCAACAGTACTGTCAGAAGGTGGCTGCCAGGAGCTCCTCAAACGACACCTCGTCATACTTCGGTTGTCATCTGGGAAAAACTTGCATAACAACAGACGTCTGTGCAATCTGTCGAGTTCTGAATTTGCGGCTGGATGGGATGAACCACGATAAGACGGAATGAACTTCCCACCCTTCGCCAAGTGTAGCAAAAAATAATGTGGAACCTCAAGCACATCTGCAGGGACCAAGTTGTGGACGCCTTTGAACACAGGCTTCTGCAGCAATGATCTGAATTCTTTGCGCAACGTTTGCGCGACACAGAACTTGAAGAAATCAATACTGCACTTTTCTGCATCCAGAAACCTCGACCCCTGCTGCGATGTGCTATTTTCCTTTCGACTTGCCCTTGCCTTTGCCATCTTTGCCCTTGTCTTTTCCTTTTCCCTTGCCCTTGTCATTCTCGGTGAATCTCACTTGCTTGTGCGGATCTTTGAGAATAGATTGACGCTTTCCTGAAGCTGAATTGGATCTCCCCGGGGATCGTGATGGCTTTTGCGGTCTTCGCTTGGGCGTCGGAGTTCTCCGACGAGCTGCCGAAGCTGACACAATTTTCAATCCATGCTTTTCCCGCAACTCCGGATTGTCTTTCACCAAGAACGCGAGGGCACTATCATCCTTCAAAGTGACAGGCTTTTTCCTTGATCCTCCAAGCTTTGCAAGTTCAAACAAAGCCGGTGATAAAACATCCTTAACGTCCATGCTTTCAAACTTTGTCATAGCATCTGTCAAAGCTTGCTCCCGTTTCTGCTTTATTTGCTTGTCTTTGTTCATCCTGGCTTGAATAGAAGGCCTTTTCAACCTGATCAGACTTTCCACATAAGATACAGCCTTCTGCAACATGACGCGCTTGATGTTTGCATCGCTAAACTCATGCTCCGCAAACCATGCTTCAACTTTATCACTCAACTGCAACTGCAAGCTTGTCTGTGACACTGCATTGTCGTATACTTGCAGACAGCGCTCTTGATGTTGACATACGAACTGGAAGCACTCGTTGGCATGCTTCTTCCTGAGCTCCGCCCAAGCAACTGAAAGCTCGTAATCATCATCCGCCATTTGCTCCTCACAATCCACCGGCTTGGCATGTGAAGCATACAACTTGGTAAACTGCCACTTGAAGCTAGCTTCCGCTTGGAAATGCAGGTGCAACTTGTTGTCTGATTGTAAAGCCGAATACTTCTCCGTCAAAGTCCTCTGCGTGGCCCATGCTGCAAACAGATGTTCTGTTTCTTTGGCGAAGTCCTCGAAAACCTTCTTCAAGCCCGGGTCTATGCCCTCCAGGAGCTGCTTCGGCTCATGGAATTCATGTGACGAGTGTGTATGATCACTTGTTGTCCACTGACCTGAGTCTGTAAGGCCTGCAATTGTTGCATCAACAGGCGATTCTGCTCCATCAACAACTCTGTAACTGATGGACTATCTGACGGCAATGCCTGTGGTTGTTTAGGCCTGCCCGCTGCGGTGAAAGCCGAACGTTCTCTGAGCTCACCGTCTTGTTCGTGACCAGAGGTCCTTCCTCTGACCAAACCACTTGCAGTTGTGAAGGATGGAGCTCTAGCGAAACCAGGATCACCTCCACCTGCCAAACCCCCAGCAGATGAATGCGCCACAAATGGGCTAGTCCCAGAACCGCCAGACATTTTTGGCGAGTAACTTGAAGTCTGCACTGCACTACTTTTGATAAGGTACTCAAGCCGATCACAACACGCAGCTTTTACATCCACGTGGCCATCAACGAATCCGAGCTTTCGTTCACAGAACTCATTCAGGGCTTGGCCACATAAATGGCTGCGCACATGATGCGTTACATGGGGTCACGTGCTCAACGCGACCTCTGTACGCGGAATGAAGACAGACATAATTTTTTTTTTATGTCTGTCTTCAGACATGATACTTATAGTAGCTATGCTGGCGCACGAAGGGCGGAACCGGCTGCCGAGAGCGGGAAGGCGGGCAAGCAGTCGCTGATCGGCTGCAGCCGTCTGTCGCACGGGACGATGCCTGTGGGAGGGGGTTGATCATGTCATCTCTCCTGTCTTGGTGCAAGGTGGAGGAAGCGGTTCAGGCCGGCTGGGCCAAGTTGGTTCAGACGGTGAAAGTCCGGGAATGCAAGAGCAGGGACTCGAAGGTGGTGTCGGTTTCTTGGAGGAGGGTTGAGTGGTCAACATCTCCGAGGTTTGTGCGAAGTCCGCCCAGCTGGAAGAGCCACTTGTGGCCTGGGTGCCGTTCTTCGGCAAGAGCTAGCTCGGAAGCAACAGGAGAGCTCGGCTACCATGTGGGCCGTTGCCAGCGTGATGGCCCGGTATGGGGCCAAGACTAGAGCCCACGCCAGGAGCTGTGCCAACCCTTCAGTCGCTGGTGAGTGCCACGTCGGGCAGCAGCGCAGACGTCGCGGAAGTGGTGTTGGAGACAGATGCCGTGGTTGCCGTGACGGTCCAGGCAGTCGTGACGCCAGCTTCTGAGAGAACGAGATGCTTCGCCCCTTGGTGCAGCGGAGGGCACCATCTTCTTCACGGAGGGCAGCCTCGAGGACAGATACGATCGCGGAAGTTCTGAGTGGGAGAGCTTCTGAGTACGATTTGTTGCCGTTGCTTTGGCCCCGAAATGTTGTCCCAGCGCTAAGATTTGTTGCCGATGTTGTGGCCTCTCAGTGTTGCCGCAGTGCTAAGAAGTACGATTTGTTGCCGTTGCTTTGGCCCCGAAATGGTGTCCCAGCGCTAAGAAGTACTAAGTTACTAAGTACGATTTGTTGCCAATGTTGTGGCCTCTCAGTGTTGCCCCAATGCTAACAAGTACGATTTGTTGCCGTTGCTTTGGCCCCGAAATGGTGTCCCAGCGCTGAGAAGTACGATTTGTTGCCGATGTTGTGGCCTCTCAATGTTGCCCCAATGCTTAGAAGTACGATTTGTTGTCGTTGCTTTGGCTCTCAGTGTTGCCCCAATGCTAAGAAGTACGATTTGTTGCCGTTGCTTTGGCCTTGAAACGGTGTCCCAGCGCTAAGAAGTACGATTTGTTGCCGATGCTGTGGCCTCCAAATGGTGCCCCAATGCTAAGAGGCAGGATGTGTTGCCGTTGCTTTGTCCTCGAAATTTTCGTGGGTCGAAAAAGAGTACAGAGCCCAGAACCTTGGACGCTAGCTAGCGACACTCGCTACGGCTAAAACCAATAACCAGGGCATGTCGGCCTGTATTTAGACATGCTGTTCCCAAAGTAACCTATTTGCCCAGCACGTGAAGCGAAGAGCAGCTGGCGCCTGATCGTGTTACAAGACAGTGTATGTCATTCCAAAAGAGCGTAAAACGCAAACAAGAGTTTATCGCTCCCTGCTGCGATGCGGCTGGGCACCACTTTTGAACGACGTGTTAACAAGCATGATGCTACCGACATGGCGGAGGTGCGACCTTAAAATCTCTCGAGAGCAACAGAGGCATCAGTTTCAGGGTTGTTCAAGTCGCAGGAGCTTCCAGCGGAGACAGCCGAAGGCGACCGTGCTTTGTCTTGAGCTATGTCTGTGTTAGTTGCATGGATGTTTCGACAATCACATTCCTGGCTGTAAGTCAGCGAGCGTTGGCTTAGGCCTTTGCGATCAAGATGTTGAAGACGAGGAGATCTTGTTCCGAGCATTGCTTTCTGGTTTGCTAGATGTGTCCTTGGCCGCAGCATGCCGCAGCCAAGCTTTCAGGACGAGCCTTGCTGCCGGATCGTGCAGATGTGCTGGCAGCATCAAGTGGATGCACGAGCCCTGGCCTAAGAAATTGCATGTTCGCGTGCCTCGCGTGGTTGGGTCTCTGGAGCTCGGGCAGTTCGGAGACCGGACTCATGTCTCCCGCCTGCGTCAGGGAGTGTCTGCAAGCTTGGCTACGGAGCAAAGACGGCAAGACGGCCACAGCTTCGGCGGCTCGGGACTGTTCACGTGCATCCCGTCATCTCCAAAGGCAGGCAAGCTGTGCCGACATTCCTGCGACTTCGTTCCGGTCCCGATCTTGGTACGGTATGCGATCCGGTTATCCGTGATGTCTGTGTTTTTAACCGCCCAGCCATGTTATTCCAAGAATGCACCGCAGTGGCTGACCATCTCCCACTCGGCGTTTTGGCTTTGTTCGAGCTTTCGACAGATCCCACAGTCTTAAATCCCGCATTCACGAGCATTCTCCGCTGTATCCAGTATCATCAAATTCAACGTCAGTTCCTGTCAACCCTGGGCAAGGGCTCCAAATCTCGCCTTCTGCTCGTCTTCCTACCGCGCGCTGCCGGCAAAGTTGCCGCGGGGACGCTGGTTGCCAGCTTCCGTGTCATTGCTTCTCTGAGTGGTGCCAGTCCTCCGACCCCGAGACGTAATGCTTTGATGAGATTGTCTTGTATAGAAGCTTTACCTATACAGTGTCTGGGGACAGATGCTGCCACGGTTGCACTGGGTTTCCAGACGTGATGTCGCCTTGTGGCAGGTTGGTCATCGCATCTTGCGTGTTCTTTATGTCGCTTGGCCGTTGCATCGCGTTGGGCGAGCATTGACGTCCGACCCTTTCAGGACTTGAAGTGCACGGATTGGATGGGTGGATGTGCGTTGTGCTTATGAGCTGTGATGAGCAACGTGAACTCCATCGAGGCCCGCGGCCTCAAGAAACAGGGCTTCGAGAGGATCCTGGCGTCCAACTTGGACGCCCACTTCCATCCCGATTTGTTCGAGAATCACGGAAGAGACTGTCGTGAAGTCCCATTCTGCCACCCTGTACTTCGATCGCTTCCCACGACAACCCGAAACTTGTGAGCGTTTGGGCGCCACCCGGGATCGCGGCCGGTTGCAGAAGGTGGATTTGCGTCGATGCCTCAGCTTTTCCCTGTTTGGGACTGACAGCTGCACCGTGCCGATCCCGCTGCCTGCCCCGTTTCTCTTCTGGCATGGGCTCGGAGGCGCTGCTGGCGAGGCGTATTGAAGCGTCTGAAGGACCCGAGCCTTTTCTCTGCATTTGGGGAGCAGGTTGGGGGCTTCTTTTCCAGGAGCTGGTCATGGACTCTTGCTGCAAAGTCTTGGGCGAGGCCAGGGCAGAGCTCCGTGCGGAGCGCCTCGGCTTGTTGGTGGGGGGGGGGGTGGCAAGAGAGATGAGGGTCGGAGGCCGGCGGGTGAAGGGGAGAGAGTTTCTGAAAGGAGCCACAGACAAAACGAGTGGCTCCATGCAGTGCATGCTTGTCACACTCCACCCGCCTGCGTCCAGAGAAAGTTTGCGCAGGCCCCTTCGCCAAGCAGCTCCCAGGCTGCGCTAGGGATCTTCCGGCAATCCTCGAAGTCGCTGAACAAAAGGCGCCCGGAGATCGCTGGGGAAACAGCAACAAAAGCGAACGGAGTCGAGGCGTGGTTCTCTGAGCTGCACTGGCCGGTCCGGTGAGAGGCCTTAAGTTGCCGAAGGCTTAACGCCGTCTCGCCACAAACTTCCGGCAAGACTTCATACACATGGCTGATCTGGCAGAGGGTACGCCTGACGCCGTGATTCTGGTGGACGATGACACCATGATTCTGGAGCACGTTAACGTCCCGACCCGATGCAAACACAAACACAACAGTCACAACAGCTCCAGGCCGCGATTCGGAGCGTAGGACGGGGAGCTACCACAATTGGGCTGTAGTGCTGTAGAGGCCAGTTGAATGACTGCAATGTAACGTAACGGTCCCAAACAGGGCAGTCGGCAGTGCAGAGGTGACAAAAGGCGCCCGTCGGTCTCGGCCCGGGGAGCCCCCAAAGCCTCGGCCCGCGGCCTGGAGCCAGCGATCCGCCACCGCAAAATCTGAACATCTCGGCCCGGCCCCGGGTCGCTTGCGACTTCTCAGTCTCTGCCCTCTTCCACTTAGAAAATGCTGCAGTGTCTTACCTCGGCGACCCTCCCTCGCTCTCCTCTCCCTTCTCTTCCCTCTTCCACCTCTTCCCCTCCATCCTCCTTCATGGTGCACAAGTAATGCCCTTGAGGTTGATCGTTTTGATGCTAAAACTGGCGTCTTTTTCGGATCCCTCGGGGCGCGGTTTTGCCCGGAACTGCGAACCCAAAACCCAAACCACGAACCCCAAACCCTGTCCAAGCCCGAAGCTTAATGACTGAACCAATAAAGTCACAGATCTTCCAGAGCATGATGTGTGTTTGCGGAACGAGAGCGAAGCTGTTGTTGACTTTGTACAACCGAACGACGGCTGGCTCAAGGGAAAAAAGGACTGCTACTGCCCGAGCGAATTTTCTGTAGGGTGTAGCTGATAAGATGAATGGAGATTCTCGCGATCCGCTTGCTGGCCCGGCAGTTACAAGCCAGCAGGTGATGAGCCCAAGTGGCGATGCTGCGCAGGTTCCAGGACAGGGACGAGTTCGTGTGAGCCTTCCGAACGGCGTTACACCGCGTGTGGGTGGAGCGTTGGAGGAGGATGCGGACTATGTGCAAGCCCTTCGGGCTTCCGGACTCGGCGCGACGCGTGCAAACACCGGACATGGTACGGCGGATGAAGCTGTTACAGGAGCGCGACCGGACCGAGGAGAAGCTGAAGGTGTGCCAGCGTTAGTGGATGCGAGAAATGATGAGGTTTTTCAGTCTCCCACTACCGAACAGCGAGAACAAGACCGGCCATTGCTGCCACATGCTGCAGTGAATCCTGGAAGTGGCCCCGAGGCGTTGCCATCGGGTATTTCAGGGTCCTTATTCCCCTCACCTATGCCCTCGCCACTGACGCAGTCCATGCCAGGTACTGACTCTCCATCCGTGAGTGGTGGACTCAATTTGGCACAACATGGTGCTAATGCGGTGCGATGGTTTTCAAGGTTGGGAGAGTATGTGCAGCGAAGGGTGGCTCAGCAGTCACGGCCGGGAGTGGAGACAACGTTAGTCCAAGAGACGATATGGTCTCCTGGTGGATCTACCAGGAGGACGAGTGGAGGTATGGCCGAGAACCAGCCTCTCTTCGACCACGGACAAGCAAGGAGATTGCGAGAAATGACCTTGGCGGCTCCGCAGCTTTATGGTGCAACGTCTCAGAGGGCGGCAGGTTCAGATTCATCGGCTTCCTACACCAGAGAGCAGATGGAGATGGAAGTCAAGCGCCAAGTGGAGCAGGCTATGCAAAGCCAGAGGGTGCTGTCCGACGAAAATCAGCGTCTTCGTCTTGAGCTGACCAGGACGAGAGCTCAGGCGAGAGAAGCGTTGGTGGAACCGTTGAGGCAGCGAGGCACTCCGGCGGTCACTTCTGCGAGCGGAGAGTGTCTACCCGAAGGCAATCCACCCGGACTTTCTGGACACAGTCGTGAGCAGGAGGGTGAAAGGACTCCGTGGACTCAGTCACCAGGACTGCAGCAGGGTTTGGGAGGGACTCGTGAACAGGATGCAGGGCGGGGACCAGAGAGTGCTCCGAGCTTACATGGAATTCTGCGAGGAAACCCCGAGAGCCAAGACGGTCGTGGAGATGAGCGCGGAACTACAAGGACCCGGAGCCACAGCGAACCAAGGGGTTATCTTTCCGAGCTACTTGGACGCTTTGGGGGTTCTGAGCGGCAAGATGGCGATGGTGATCACGGCCTATCTGGTGGCAATCCTTTGGGACTATCAGTACGCGACGGTGAATCCAGAGGCGATCTTGTTGGAGCGCGACCTAGTGAAGGGAGAGGGCCGGAGACCCGGTCGAATTCGAGGGGAAGACGTCCTTCTGTAGAAAGAAGCCATGTACCGGAGGCAATCCACCCGGACTTTCGGGACACAGTCGTGAGCAGGAGGGTCGTTTTTATAGTAATATGCAGGGAGTGTTCAGTGGTCCAGTCGTACCTGATGGGCAAGGAGGTTCAGTTCCACAAGGTCCCGGTGCTAGCCTACAGGATCCAGGTCCAGGAGGAGAGCGGGATGAAGGAACGCAAGGTATTATTCAGATGGAGGCGCTGCTCAAGGGTATGACCCAGCTTCAGGCCGCGATGACGATGCAGTTGGGTATGGCAGCTACCAAGCCGGAGACCATTCGTCCGGGAACCTCGGGAGCAGAACTCCCCAAGCTTACGGAGGCGGACGAGTATGCAGCGATCAACGTTGGAGACTGGCTTCATGGGCTTTCCGGGCCCATGGGAGACCTCACGGATCGGAGCGCGACATGGTGGACTGAGACCATGAGGTGTCTGGACTGCTTCTACCAGCAGTTCGTGACCGCGTCGGCCGTGAAGAAGCTGCAGCTTAAGGCTGAGGACTTCATGTCGCCGCAGCTCATGCAAGGACCCGCGGTGGCATCGAGTTGACAAGAGAGCGGTGTCCATGCTGTTGCAAGCAGTGCCCGAGGTGATGAGAACAGAGTTGTTAGCGAATCGGCTAGGGTCCACTTTGGGGATTCTGGGGCGAATCGTCACCATATACCGGCCCGGCTCAGCAGCAGAACGCCAACAGGTCTGGAAGGCCCTCGAGAGCCCAGGAACCGCAGGATCCACGGCCGATCTGGTGGAAGCGCTGCGGAAGTGGGCCCGATGGCTTAAGCGAGCCCAAGATCTCAGTCTCCAAGTACCAGACGCATCCATACTTCTCCGAGGTTTGGACGCTGCCGCCAGAGGGCAGTTGACGCAGCACCATGAGGTGAACTTCCGTACGAATGTGCTTCGCTACAGTTTGGACTTGGATGCGGCCCCGACTTTGGCTACGGTGATGAAATACCATAGTCACTTACTCGGAGAGTTTGAGCAGTTGACCTACAGAGGGCGAGGAAAAGGACCGGGCCCTTCAATGCCAGTGGTGAAGAATGTCAACGTCGCGAGCGGGGACATTGGAGGCGGAGGCACACAAAAAGGAGGTGCCAGTCCCCAATCCCCTGGAGGAGGAAGGCCGTGCAAGTTCTACCTGTCGGAGACCGGTTGCCAAAGGAGCAATTGCAAGTACGCCCATGACTGGAATGCCATACCAAAGGAAGAACGAGCCGAGAGATGCAAAGGATGTGGCGGGAAAGGTCACATGCGGAAGAATTGCCCTCTCAAATCTACGGGCAATGATGGACCTCGCCGGGGTGATGATGGAAAGGGTGGTGCTGGACCTCGCGTGCGCAGTGCTACTACTACGGGAACGGCTCCGGGAGACGGAAAGAGAGATGATGGAACGCTTCCTCAGGTTCCTCCCGCTACCTCGTCGACACCGTCGGGCTCGGCCTCTATGGGAGCTTCTGCAGCTCAGAGTGGATCTACAGCATCGGCTACGTCTACGGCAACCAACAAGGATATGGATGAGTTCCTAAAGAGCGCGGCCCAGGTGTTGAAGATGATGACTGAACAGCAAGGCGGGGCTGGGCAACCTAGCCCTTCAATGAAAATGCTGAAGCGCGCAGTGATGAAGTACGAGCAGAAGATGGCCTTGGTGGACTCGGGAGCTACGCACCCACTGAGGAAGGCAACCACCGTGGAATGGACGGAGTCACCTGAGGTTGATGTGGTTGTGGCTGGAGATGGAACTGCGAGGATGAAGCAAAATCGGTCGGGAACTTTGTTGACGCAGCCCACTACAACGCAAACTTCGTCCCAAACTATATTGCCCGTGGGAAGCTTGGTGAATGTGCTGGGCTATGAACTGAGGTGGTGTAAGCGAAAGTGCATCCTGCGAGCTCCGGATGGCAAGGAGATTCCATTGAAGACGACCTCGGGATGTCCTGAAGTGGATGAGGCAAAGGCTTTGGAGTTGATTGCGGAGATTGAGCAGGAGAACTTACATCGCCTGCAGCGCGAGACGGAGACCACCAGAGTGGCCATGTTGAGGGCCAATGAGGTTTGTGCAGATGAGCAATGGGAAAAAAGTATGAAGCGCTATGTTGCCGAGGGATTGTTCGAGCACGGGTTTCGCTACTTGGCGTCAGCTCCGTGGCTTCATGATGTTCCCAGGGAGAACTTGATCAAGGTTGTCACGGACCTACCAAAGGACCTGAACGAGGCATGGCAACTTATGATGCACCTGGGTTTCAACAGACGGATGAGGAAGAGATTGGTGCACAAAGACTGGTTGGTCAAGCTATTTAGTGGACGTGGTGATCCTCAGGACAAGGCGTTCAAGGCAGCAGAGAACAATGGTGCGATGACATTGGATGTGGATGTTCAAAGGATGTCCACCTTGGACCTGAGAAGCCAAGGACCGGGAATCATGAAGTTGCTTTTGTACGTGGGGAGCGGCCACGGGAAGGATCGCTTCGGTGATTGGTGGGATCCCTCGTACAAGTACCGAGGAACTTTTGACAAGGTCCGTCTTCATCGTCGAGGTGGCCAAGGCTGGGAGAGCGACTATGTGTGAGGCTTCGGACGTACCGGAGGATGGTGTTGCAGTTGCTTTGTGGGCGTCCTCTGAGGCGGAAGAGGATGAAACGGCCAGGGTGTGGCAGCTGGATTGGTTTCGGAGGTGGATCGAGACGCAGAACCTAGAGGTGATCCACTTTGAGCAAGGAGGCCTGGGGCACCCAGTTCGGAAGCCCACTGCGATGATCACCAATCTTGATGTGTCCGAGTTGCGCGGGGTGAAGGACCTAAGGCTGAATGTCTCGGAGAAAACCATGGCTTGGGCATCATGGGCTCCTTTCCTCACGAGGACTCTTGTAAGGGGGTTGAAAAGATGGAAGCAGCGACCGGGGTGGTATCCAAGGATGCTCAAGGCGCTCCGGGCAGTTGATCGAAAGGCGTGGGAGAGACATTTAGCCAACGACCACACCCCTTACAGAGCGGACTGTTTGCAGTGCATTCACAATGCAACGGGTAGACCTCATCGCCGATGCCTACATCGAGATTGCTATGTGTTGAGTGCAGACGTCTTGGGTCCGGTGAGAGTTGCAGGTCCCAAGGGCGAGAGACACGCCATTGTGTTCACGTACCAGTTCCCCAAACAGCATTTGGCACCCGAGGACCAACCAGTACCTGAAGAAGATCTGGTGGGGTGGAATTTGGATGCCAAAGAAACCAAACCTGAAGCACCACCAGAAGAAGAGGAGTATTCCCCGGATGAAGGACCTGATCCAGAGCTATCTCGAGAAGAACTTGATGAACTACGACGGGTACAAGCTGAGGTTGTGGAGTTTCCGGAGGAGGAGTTTTCTGGGGTGCGAAAGGTTAAGGTTGGGAAGGACGCCGAGTCAAAGGAGGACTGGTGGGAGTTTCATGAAGCAACTGGCGTGCTTGTTCGGCACCATGTGGCGGCGAGGGATAAGTTGTTCCGACCTACATCATGGAATGGATGTCCAGTAGACCCGGCAAAGTTGGAGCCAACGCGAATTACGGACATCCAGTATGTGGGCGGCGGGGTGGAGATGGAGACCTCAGATTGGCATGGTCCTCAGTCTGGAGCAAGAAAGTTACCGCGTATGTGGACTGGAAGAACGACCTTCAAGATTTCGGCAGCTGAGGAACCCGAGGAGGAAGACCTTATGAAGAAGGACGAGGAAACTTGGGAGAAGATCATCGGGGACCTCACTCAGCCGGTGGAGATGGACACGATCTACATGGTTTACCCGGTTCGGGCTCGACGAGGCGGTGACGCTATGCTGGCCATCCAAGAGGCGATCCTGCGATTGAAGTTGTGGGGCTATCCAGTGAGTCGACTGCACACGGACAGAGGTCAGAGTTTGCTTCGAAGGGGCTCCGGAAGTGGCTACTTGATCACGACATCTACCACACCCGGTCAGAGGCTTTGGTTCCGCAGACCAATGGTGCAGCAGAGCGAGGAGTGCGATGGTTCAAGACGAGAGCCAAAGTTCTACTTGATGAAGCGAAGGTGGCTACAAAGTACTGGACGTTGGCAATGCAGCATGCTGCAAACCGAAGGATCTACGAGCGACTTGGTTTGCATCGACCCGAGCTACTACGGTTTGGGGCCGAGGTTTTGGTACGGCGGAAGGTTTTTGGGAACAACAAGAAGTACGACCTCACGGACCGCTGGGAGAAGGGCACCTACTTGGGTCTATCTGACTCAATCAAGGGGGGCTCCATTGTCCTAAGACCCAATGGCCTACTCACCGAGACGTTGAACCTGAAGACCAAGGTCGTGGATCCACATGTGGTGTTGCAGGAACCAGAAGTCCCAGGAGATGACGATGGAGGAGGTGTTGGGGATGTTGATGCAGAGCTTGTACCAGTGCTTGATCTACCTATACCGGACCACCGCTTGAAAGGGAAGCAACCACCTCCTGAAATCAGAAAGATGGAGGCCTCGAACGACGATGGATGCAAAAAGGTACCGTCGGGATGGACGAGGAGATCTATGGTAAGGGCTCAGGAGGAGAAGGCTTTGCATCTCTACAACCACAGCAAGTTTGATGAGGACTCCTGTGCGGAACTCTTGAGCGAAATCAACCTTACGGGAAAGATGAGAACGAAGTCAAGAGGAACGTCGTCTTCGTCGGCGATGCTAGGAGCCTATGTTCATGGAGGGCTTCGTGGTGTGACAGTGGCAATGAGGAAGAGACCGGCATTGACGAAGTACCTAAACATGGTGCTTAGGATGCGGGCTGCGGAAAACCTCAGTCATGATGTGAGCTGGACTACGTTGGGTGTGTTCAAGGCGGCGGATATTCCACCTCACAGAGACCTACGAAATCAACCCAATACCCTCAACTATGTCACGGAGATTGGAGTGCGAGATGCTGGTGGCCTTTGGGTTGCTAAGCAAGATGGACGTACAGGTTGTGAGGGTGGTGGAAAAATCACGGAACACAATCGTGAACTACCTGATGGAAACCTAGTAGAAGGAGACCTTGTGAAGATCAGTGGTTGCGCGGTGGCCTTTGATCCCAGGGTTGTGCATTCCTATGTGAACAAGGAGACGGATAGGTGGATCGTGGCCGGCTTCACGCCGCTGGGTGTGGAAAACTTGAAGCCGGAGGCCGTGCCGCAGCTTCTGAAGGGAGGATTTCCTTTGGAGGGCTCTTCGGTGTCGTTGGAAGGAGTGGATGTGGAAGACTATGAGGACACAGAGAGCTCTATGGACAGCGACCCCAGCAGCCAGGATGAGGAGGAGGTCGAAGACAAAGCTCGTGTTCTACGATGTGCTCTGGAGCAGGATGAATGTATGCGAAAGGAGGCGGAACATCGTGATCAACATGCACTCTACCTGGAGACGCTGCTGGAGGAGTTCACCAAAGAGATTCAGTATAAGGAGAGAAAGAAGATGAGAAAGATCATGAAGATGGTTCCAGGTGCGGCGGCCAATGTGGAGGTGGAACAGCTGTTATCGGAGCTACATGGACCGTTGGAGGTGGTGCACAACGTAGGGTTGCCGGAGGTGAAGAAGTATTTGCCAAAGTGGAAGGGTGCGATCAAGAAAGAAGTGAAGGCCCTTGTGGACAGCGGGACTATTCGAAGGCTGACCCCAGCGGAAGCACGAGATCTACGACAGAAGGGGCTAATCGTGCTCCCCGGAAAGGGGGTCTTTACAGTCAAACCCCCGCTGGAGGCCAAGGAGCTGGGTGCAGATATGTATCGCAGAAAATGTCGAGTGGTGGTATGCGGCAACTATTTGCCCCAGAGCGGCACCGAGGTCTACGCCAGCGGTACCTCAGCGGATTCACTCCGCTTCAGCATCGCCTACGCTGTGTACCGGGGATGGGGCGCCGGTGGAACCGACATTTCCAACGCTTTCACGCTTGCCCCTATGCCGGGGGAACTACTTTATGGACTACAACCGCCTACAGTCGTGCTGCAAGCTGAGGAAGCACAGCCCGGTGAGCTGTGGCTTATACAAAGGGTGCTGTACGGACTGCGGGAGGCACCAAGACTTTGGAGCGTTTTTAGGAATGACCGGTTCCTACATGCTCGAGTTCCTCATGGTGATGAAGTGCTGATGTTGAAGTGCATGGAAACAGATGAAAATGTGTGGCTCATCCGTGGGGAACAAGACTCCAAGATCTACGGCATGATGATTGTGTATGTGGATGATATCTTGTTCCTATCCTCCAACGACATCATCAGGAGCATGTACAAGTGGCTAACGGATGGCTGGAAGTGTACGGCTTTGGAAATGTTAGATGATGGGCCAATCCGGTTCCTGGGCATGGAGCTAAGAAAGTGGCGAGATGGGATACATGTGTCTCAGTCGGGATACATCAGGGACCTACTTCGTCAACAGGGAGTCTGTGAGTCGAACCAAGGGCTTACAGTACCGTGTGCACGTGAATGGCTACAAGACGAAGACAGCGACGAGGAGAAGAAGGTTCCTGAGGAGTTCCTGGTGAAGGCGGCGCAAAAGGCCACGGGCGAGACGCTTTGGCTGAGCACCCGGAGTCGTCCGGAGCTGGCCCATAGTGTGGCATGTATGGCCGCCAGGGCACTCAATCAACCTCAAAAGGCCCTGGAGATCCACAAAAGGGTGATGCTCTACCTATCAAGGACGGTCGAGTACGGCATCTACTTCTACCACGACGACACGGAACCGATGCTCACGGTGTATTCGGATGCAAGCTACGCACCGGGAGGAGGACGCTCGTTTGGATGCATACTGGCGCAAGTGGCAGGTACTCCAGTGGCTTGGCGAGCAAGCAAGCAGCCGGTGATCACCCTAAGTGTTGCCGAGGCAGAACTCTACGAGGGCATTTCAGCTGTGCAGCTCGGTTTGGGCTTTGAGGCGATGCTTCACGAGTTGGGTGAAGCTCCGGTGATGGTGTTGAAGATTGACAACCAGGCCGCTCAAGGCCTGGCAAGCGAAGCACCCGGGAGCTGGAAAACTCGACACCTACGCATCCGAGCGAGGTTTCTCCGGCAAGAAGTTTCTGCACAAAGGCTTCATGTGATGCATGTTCCAGGAGAACTTCAGAAGGCAGACCTTGGGACGAAGGCGTTCGACTTGCCTAAGTTCCGTTCCTTGATGGCGTTGTGGAGAATGCTACCATGGAGTACCGAGGATGTGGGAAAGGCGGACCTGAAGTCGATTGCGGCGATCAACATGAAGAAGCCTTTAATGTTCGTGCTGATGTGCTTGGTGATGATTCAGAGTGCTGAAGCAGCGAAGGAGGACCTACAGCTTGACGGTTCCCTGGAGTTCTACGCGGTGACGGTGCTTGTGGTTGTAGCGGCGGTAGCAGTATGGGAGTTGCTTAAGAGGGTTTGCCGTGGAATGAGCAGATGGTGGACTTCATCCAGAAAGAAACGTGAAAGGATGGAAAGGCTGCGCAATCGCGCTCAAGCAGCGGTCCAGGAGGAGATCAGGAGGTATGAGCCTCGAGCTGATTCCCCCTTAGCGACTACCCGGCGATCGTCTACTTCGTCTACTACTAGACGGACTCCGATGAGCCCGGCACCTACGATTAGCACAAGTACTGGAGTGCACATGAGATCGATCAGCACCCAAACGGATCCAGGACCCGCAATGATACCAGCCAACAGGCTGGCAGCCTACAATGGACCGTTCTACGTGACGACGCATGGTGACAGAGTTCATTTGACAAGCTATTGCCACGGGCAGAGAAATGCTGCTGCGGCTTCAAAGCGATTTGAGCTCTGTCATTACTGTGACAGGGCGCGGGGACTCTATGTGCTTACGGCTCCAGACGAAGATTGAGAGTCAGCAGCCGAGGAGGAGTGCAGAATCCCAATAAAGTCACAGATCTTCCAGAGCATGATGTGTGTTTGCGGAACGAGAGCGAAGCTGTTGTTGACTTTGTACAACCGAACGACGGCTGGCTCAAGGGAAAAAAGGACTGCTACTGCCCGAGCGAATTTTCTGTAGGGTGTAGCTGATAAGATGAATGGAGATTCTCGCGATCCGCTTGCTGGCCCGGCAGTTACAAGCCAGCAGAACCCTAACCCCAAACTCGAAGCCGTGAACGCTAAACCTTGTCCCGAAAGCGCGAACTCTAAACCCACTAAGGCTAAACCCTAAACCCTAGGACGAACCTACGATGCAGGGTGCGACCCTAAACCCAGTGGATTCTGCTAACCTTAACTGCGAGCCGGAAAAGGCGTTCAAAAGAATACCCTAAACAAAAGACCTTGAACCTTACACCCCAAACCCCAAGCCCCAAACCCTAAACCCCAAACCCTAAACTAAACCCTGAACCCTCAACCCTAAAAAAGAAAGAACCTAATCCCTAAACCCGAAGCCCTAAACCCTTTAACCTCTGGACCCTAGACCCTACAGCCTAAACTAAACCCTAAACCCTGACCAACCCTGAACCTTATAAACCCTAAACCCTTGAGGCTAAACCCTAAACCGTAAAACCTAAACCACAGCAACAAACCACAAACCTTGAACCCAAACCCCGAACCCCAAATCCTGACCAAGCCTGAACCTTATAAACCCTAAACCCTTGAGGCTAAACCCTAAAGCGTAAAACTTAAACCGCAGCAACAAACCGCGAACCTTGAACCCAAAACCCAAACCCCGAATCCCAAATCCTGACCAAGCCCGAAGCTTAACCCCTGAACCGTAAATCCTAAACCGTAATCAACCCTGAATCTTGAACGCTGAGGCTAGACCCTGATCCCAATACATGAACCCTAAACCTTTACCCTAAATCGCGAACTCTAAACCCACTGAGGCTAAACCCTGAGTATGTGAAGATAAAGACCTTAGAAAGTCTAAAGAATGTCGAGATAAGCACACCTAGCCACGGTACACGCGACTACCAAACTTTTCAAGCAAAAGCAGCCTCGTCGGTCGCACAACCTGTCTCTGCTGTACCTGGGCACACTTCACGCACTCCCCCTCGCTCAATTCGCCAAGAAATGAGCGATCGGGGCTCTAAAAGGAAAAGTTAGTTCGTGAAGCTGCACCCGTCTGTTCCTACAGGTCAGCACCAACAGCGCTGAAGGACAAAAGCATCTTTGGGACAACATTCCGAACCTTCGCATCAGCGAAGCATCTCCTTCGGAGAACTATTCCAGCATGTCCCTAGCGTCCCAAATGTTCCTATTAACACCGGAAACCAAAGTCATCCCCAAGCTCTAGCCGGTAAGCTTAAGACGCCAGTTTGTAAAAGCCCAGTATTTCAATACTGGAGAGCCATGGGTACACCTTCAATCTCCGCAAGACTACCTATCTGCTAACCGGTTGCGCGTCTACCGGTCGATGTGCTCGCTCTCCGGAGTCTCTGACAAAGAGTCCTCGTCTGAAAACCCAAGCCCGTCACGCTCAAGCCTACAGAGGTAATCCCCAATGAGCCCGTGGAACCCACTTCGAACTCTGTCAGAGTACTCACAGGCCTCGGCATCTACTTGGTATCCCGCAATCCACAGGGAGAAAAGGATCCGGTCCCGATGTGGGACGCCCTTTGGAAGGGGCAACTGGATCACATTAAAATCCTGGGTTTGAGAGGCTACCTCTACCCGGCCATGTTGGAGAGTTCTCCAGTTGGAGACGATCCAACGTACAGCTTCCCAGATCCCTATAAGACAAACTGCCTTAGCTAGCGCCCATAGAGTGGAACCGTCACACCTATTCGACCCTAACCCCTTCAGCAGAGCAACTTCTTGGGGTCCAGTGGGGGAACAGGAACTAGGGTCGTTACCACACCACACAAGAGGAAAATCCCCTTCAACAGAAGACGAATCCCCTATCTCGTATCCCCTGACACTTTGCACAAGGAACCACATCACGATCAAGCTCCAAAGAAACCCTCGAAGTCCTTCAAGCCCACTTCGAAAACCCCTGAGAAGCCTACCCGCAATGTGAGCATGTCCAGGTGGATCATTACTCGACCCAGGCATCCCGTGACCCACACTCGCCGCGCAGAGCCCTTCAGAAAACTCCGTCCAATCCCCGGTCTGAAGGCACTGAACCACAACCGCAACCTCCTCTAGGGACCACCCTTCCAAAGGCACTCGCAGAACATCATCTACATAATGCACTTCCAGCGCCCCCTCAGCGGCCTGATACACAAGCCCCTGACCGAGACTCAACAGCTCCGTAGGAACTGTATCTGATAGCGCCGGTTCAGCCTCAACTACCTCCGCACTGGACGACTCAGTAGAAGCATCTACAATAGACGGTTCCTCTGTCGAGGAGGAAGATTCCTCTGATGAGGGATCGTCGATTGCGTATGCAAACCTTTGCACAACTACTTCTTGAGGTCTAGGGGCAGTATGGGGATGGTCATCAAGGGTCTCATCTTCACTTTCAAGGAACGGATACTCCCTTTCTCCAGTCTGGAGATAGGCAAATGCAGCTTGAAACGCCACGGCCCCATCGGCCTGTCGCCTCGTGCCAGTGGCTTGCAGCCACAAGATAATCGCAAGGATCATGTTGCTGAAGAAATCCCTCGAAACTGCCCTAACGAAAGCCCACTCACGTGCTCTTTCTCCCAACATGGACAAAACCAAGTGACCCTGACTTGCAAGGACCCTCCAAAGGTAATGGACCACATTCGGAGAACCCCAACAGACATACGGAAAAACCGGTCCAGATGAAGAGGAAGGCACTTCAACAGAATTCCTGACAAGACCTAAAACCTCCCCGGTTAGAAGATAATGCTCAACCGTCAGAACCCATTGAGGACCATGAAAGGCTACCGCCAGCGGACCCAGTCGCAGCAGGTCAGCAGCTGCTGATGCTACCGCTTGTCTAAAGTAGGCCAAGGCAACCCTCAACGCTAGGCAATTCTCAGACCTAAGTCCTAGAAATTCCAGCAGTCGAACCCCCTCATACGACAACAATTGTACTACATAGTGAACCGTTAACCAAGTTCCTACCAGAGGGAACTCTACATTTCCTCCTTCAGGAGCGACGTAGTCTTCGTAACACAGCTCTGGTACAGCCGCATTCATACCATGACTATATCTCCAGATGTTCTTAATTCAGGTGAACGCCCTGCCACTTTGGCAGGACACAGGCTGGGAAGGATGCCTTGATGGTTGTGTGTGCATGCTTGCGCTCGTTCCGCTTGCATGTGCTGTCTGCCTCATGCGATGCATCGGTTTTGAGCGTCGGCACTTCGCCGATGAATCTACCTGCTTTGTGCCTACACGATGCAGGTGGATAGGGGGACGTCGTTACACATGGAAGTTGCGTAGCTTCTTCTACGCCTCGCATGTGCAGGGATGGAAAATACTGAGGCACAAGTTCTGTCAGTTTCGTTTTCTGAGGGCTCGCATTCCGATTACAAGGCCACCGTCGCCTTCATCCACAGAGCCTTCGCTGCAAGACTTATGCATGATTTCAGAAGAGCAAGTTTGACACGCACGCGCTGTGCGTTTGCGCCGCGTGGCCTCAACTCCTGCCTTAAGGGAGGAGGTGGAGGCGCGCGCAGAACCAGACGGAAGAGAGCCCAGAAGCACGCAGCTTCGGCTCCTGGTGCTGAGAGGCCTCCACGTGAGTCTGTGCAGACCAGTGTTCCGCTGCAAGAGGCGCGCTTGCTTGAAGACTTAAGGACGATGATTGCTACTGCGCACACCAGGCCTGGTAAGCTGCTTGCGGATGCCCAGGCTCTCCTTAAGATGCATGCCGGTTCGTTGGTGCCGAGCCTAGAACCGAAACCACCCCGTACAGTGCAGCTCAAGCCTGACGCTGCTCCAGTTACTACCCGACTGCCTCCCGACCCTGACCCAGAGGAAGGCTGGCAGGCTGTGCGCCGTGGGCGCAAACCGAAACCTGCGCGTGACACTGCGCTCACTGCGGGCCCTGCGCCCGTGAGCAGTCCAAGCCCGCAAAAGCAAGTGTCTGTGCCCAACAATGGCCCCAGACCTGCCTTGAACCTGGACCTCAGTGCTTGGTCTTCTCCCAAGACCATTCTGCCGTTTCAGACTGTGCTTGACGCCCTTCAGGCAGGCAAGCTTCCCCAGGGCTCGGCTACGGTTGTTAACAGTGCCGCAGGCGTGGATAAGCTCCAATCGCTTGCTCAGGCTCATGGCCTTGACGGCAAGTTTGCTTTGTTACTCAAGGCACCTGACTCTGGTCAGAAGCCCGAGCATGCCAAGTCACTGAAATTTGCGTGTTGGGTGAGCAACCGCCGGGAGTTGACCAGCTGCTGGGCCATCCCGCTGTGTGGGGATCAGCTCCCTGCCCTCCCTCAGGCCATGCCGCGTACCACTTCTTTCTGCCCCCAAGATCGCGATTTGGTCACCCTCCGAATCACTGTGCCCAAGCCATGTGTTGAGGCTGCTGTGTGGCAGCAGTGGCATGCCACACCGTGGGCTGCCCTCAAGCAGTGGGCACCAGCCTTCCACTCAGCCAACGGTTTCAAAGAAACTCGCCTCGACGACGGCACTCTCCTGCTTGAGTGTTTCTTGAAAGTCGACCGTGCTGATGTCGACAAAGTCCTTGCTAAAAACGGCCAGGATGCTGTGTTTGCTGCCCGCCTGGCAAGCGAACAGGGTCGCAAATTGCCGGTTGAGTGGATTAGCACACAATCAGGTGAAGATGACCGCGCTTACTTCACCAGAGTGCGTAAGCAAGCTACTCAAGCGAAAGCTGGCATCGCCTTCCGTCGAGGCGGTGGTGCTTATCTAGGTTTGCGACATGAGGCCTCTGCTGCAAAGCCAACGTTGCACGCTTGGGAAGTTGCTAAGGTGCCCTGGACTTGGACTGAGGAGGACCTGACTCAATGTCTCCAGGGTGCTGGATGTTCGGATATCGCCATCCTGCGTCGCGGTGGAGGGCGTAAGAAATGGGTCGTCAAGTGCATTTTCCCAGATGCCGATGTTGGAGCCATCACTGAAATCCTCGCAGGGAAGACCTGCCTGGTGCTCACCAGGGCCCAAAGTCGCGCGCATGTCGGTACCTCTACTCCGTTGAAAGCCCATGCTGCTGCCGAACTCCGCGCGCCCACCACCCGTCCAGGTGGGTCAGTGAAGCAAGATAGTGTTGTCGTTGCGCCTGTTGCCAAAACCCCCAAGCCTGCTAAATCTCCTGCTAATGGTGATGGGGCTAGAGGTAGGAGTCGCTCTCGAGGTAAGAAAGACAAGTCCTCCAGTGCTCTCTGCGAGGAAATCGATTGTGGAGCTGAAGGGGCGTGTGGATTTCTTTGCTTGGCCGCAGCCCTAGGATTGCAAAACAATGAAAGCTGGGACAAGATCAGGGGCGAACTTGATGTACGCTCCCGCACTTTGCGTTCTGAGATCTTTACTTGGATTGGGCGGCATCGTAAAGATGTTGAGCCGCTGTGGGAGCAAGATGGCAAGGCCACTGAGGAGACCTATAGGCGGTGCCGTCCCTGACAGTTTCGACAGTTGGCACCAATGCATCCTCAGGCCCCGCAAATGGATTGATGCGTTATGCCTTTATGCCGCTTCCCGTAGACTTCGACTCCGCATAGTTGTTGTCATGGGGACAAAGGACGAGGTCAAAACTGGCCGTGGTGCCGTCACTGCTTTTGGCAGCCTGTCGGGCACACCCGTTTACCTTGCTTTGCGCAGTCAGCACTACACGCTCCTGCGCTTCGACAACAGTGATGATGTGCCGCGTGAGTGGGCCAATGCCAAAGAGGATCTAGGCACACTTCACCAGTTGCTTGAGGACATGCCAGTCTGTCGGGCGCTCAAGCTCGTACCCAGGCTACTGCTTCTGCTTCGCCTGGCACGGGCCGCTCCGTTCACACTGACAACCAGTCCTCCGCTCGATGTAAAGCGTCAGCCAAGAGGCGGGCCACGACTGGTCAATCCAGCACGCATGGTACTGATGGCATTCCTTGGAAGTGTAATCTTTGCCAGTACTGTACTCGAGCTCCTACTGTTAAAAAGCTTGTCAAGCGGCGTAATTCTCACATAGAGTGCTTCCATCAGCATGAACGCCACCTTGTTGCTCGCATCCGGGAACGCCCTGTGATTGTGCAGGCGTCTGATGCCATCCCTGCGGAGCAAAGAGTGTGGGAGTGCCGCCTCTGCCACAAGGGCTTGCCCGCATGCCCGTCCAAGCATGTCCGCGATCTCAGTGTCTCGGCACACTTGGCGGTATGCTGTCCTGGAGGCAAAGGTAAGAAGTACTATGCCCCTCGCGATGATAACCGTCTTCTTGAAGCCTCCCGAAAGGGTGTCGATGCCATGACTGCCAGGCGCCACAAGCTCTTTCAGGAATACAAAAGCACTAGCACGCATGCCCTGAAGCTTGTTGCCTCGCACATCTATTGCTCGCGGTGCTATGGGCGGTGGTCAAGCATTAATGAGCTTTCTCGAAGCACTGAGGATTGCTGCGGCTTCTTGAACTACGACCGACGATGGCGACTCTGGAGCACCTTGCGCAAGAACCCCTCTGCTTTGAAGCGTTTCTTGCATGCCACAGGCATCAAATGTGCGCAGATTGATGCCCTGGAAGCCCGCATGCAGGGGCGACGCGGCAAAGGGGCCCTCAGCCGCATCACGCCACTGCAGCGTACCCGTTGGTATCGCGATCTTTGCGCCGAAGGCATTGAACCCAATCCCGGCCCTTGTGGTTCGTGTTTAGGGTTTAGGCCCCATAGCATGGTTTCCCTCTGCAAGCGCCGGCGTGCTCGTGTCGTGCCCCTGCAGAGCACGAGATGGTACAGGGATTTGTGTCAGGAAGGCATTGAACCCAATCCAGGGCCAGATGCTTCACGCCAGCTCTCCTTGCTCACCTTGAATGTGGCGGATAGCGCGAATGCTTTCGAAGCTGCCAAAGTTTGTATGCTCGCTAAAGTCCATGTCATTGCCCTTCAAGAGGTGTGCTTCTCCAATCAGCAAGCCCAGACCTTTGTGTCTCAAGCCAGCCGCTTAGGATATCATGCTTTCCACGTGTCGGGCGCCACCACAAGGTCTCGCCGTGGTTATGATGTTCATTCGGGCGGCGTCGCTGTCCTTGTGCGGCACAGCATAAAGGTCCAGCCGGTGCGCTCTTGGCAAGGGGTCGCCGGGCAGTTTGTTGCTTTAGACTTTGGCTCCTTCTTCATGGTGGCCGTCTACCGCAGACCGGATGATGACAGTGTCAGTGACATGACCCAAGCTCTGTGCGAAACGCTCTGGGCGCGTCGTGCCCGCCAACCTTGGATTCTTCTCGGTGACTTCAACTGGACACCGGAAGAAAATGAGTGGCTTGAGCTGCTTGAAGATGAGTCCGCCGCCGTTGCTGGTCCCTGGGACCATAGCTGCGCGAGATGGTTTGCCACCAGATGGGAGGGCCACCGCTGCATCGACTATGGTATCACCAACTTGACCCACCGATGCAATGTTGTGCGTGAGCTCACTAGTTGGGGTGACCACATTCCCATCCGCATTGCTCTTGACCTTGCTAGCGATGCTGCAAACACTGATCGTCTGCAGCCCACTGCCTGCTACACCTGCCCACAGGGCGTGACTGTCGGTGCGTGGCGGCTCGCTTTGGGCGCTGCGTGGGAGGAAGTGTGGCGCTCTCATCCTGATGCAGCGCGCCTCCGCGAGGTTCTCCCTTTGCAGCCTAACCGGCCTAACCCTGACGAGGAAAGCCGCATCTTTCACACCCTTGTGGAAGCTGCTTCTCGGAAAGGGCGTGCAGCATTAGGGCTGGACAATGCGTGGCGTCACACTAGACCTAAGGGTTCCCCGCCTTGTGTTGTCCCTAATGACACCCTTAGCAAGCGTAGGCCCTGTGACTTCCAGTCATTCGCGATGCGCAAACTTCGGCGTCGCTTAGGTCAACTACTTGAAGCACGACGGTGTGTTGCAAGACACAATGACGCCGAGGCCCTGCTCCTTCGCAGACGTGCCGCTCGGCATGAGGGCCCGCTCACTCCCTTAGCACACGGCCATTGTCGAGTTGGAAACGCAGATTCAACAAGTGCAGCACGCTGAGGCTTTGCAGCGCCTAAACCAGTGGAAAGAGAGTCTTCGTGCTTCCGACAGCTCGGTGCGGAAGTGGGTGCGGCGCAGCAACAAGCCGGCGCCTGCCTTTGTTTCGCTTGACGGTACTCCCAGCACCGGAGTTGCTTGCAGTCTGACCTTTCTCCGCACGTTCTGGCGGCGCATTAGGCGACGAGAAGTCCGACCTGATGACGCTATCCGTGCTTGGAGTGCCGAGCATGCCCGGCATCGTGCTCATGCGCCTCAACTCGGCTGGCAGCCGATCACTGCTAGTGAGCTTCAACAGCAAGCTTGTGCTTCTGGTGGCAAAGCTGCCGGCCCTGATGGCTGGAGCGGTGATGAGATCCAGCACTGGTCGCTCCCCATGTGGCGGACTTACGCTGACCTTTGGAACAGATGGATTCACCACCGCAGCTATCCGTCAGAGTGGCAATACTATCTGCAGGTTCACCTCCCTAAGCAAGACCCTCACCCTGTGCATGGTTTAGACTTCTTTCTTTAGATTATGCCAAGTGTTTTGACCGCGCCCACCCCAGCACTGCCACACATGCCCTCAGCCGGTTAGGTATGCCTGCGGAAATGGTCGACTTGTGCAGGTTTCAGTGGAGCCAACAGCACAGATGGCTCGGTTTGCAAGGTTGCGTTAGTGCGGAGGCCGAAGTTGTTACTTCTAGCTTGCCTCAGGGAGATGCCATCTCCCCTATGGCGCTTAACGCCATCTTATGGGCCCCCATCCAAGCCTACTGCCGCGAGGAACCCGCGGCGACTGCGGTTACCTACTTGGACGATCGCAACGTGGTGGTCCATGACCACGCTCAGCTCGTTCGCACCCTCCAGTTCTGGATGCGCTGGGCTGGCAGGTTGGGCCTTGAAGAGAATGTTGGGAAACAGAAATTCCTCCCTCGGGGTTCTGCGGCTGCTCAGGAAGTCGGCCAATCTAGGACTGTTGCAGTTGTGCACACACTTCGCATTTTGGGAGTTGATTTTCGCACCCGCATTGATGGCAAAAACAGGCCCACCTACCAAGACCGCCTGAACGAAGCCCGCCAGCGCCTTGGCCGCATCGGCTGCCTGCCTGTCTCGTTTCTGGCCAAGTGCCAGTTCCTTCGACAGCTTGTCCTTCCTGTGGCAGTTTGGGGCACATGGTTTGTTCATGGCGCAGCCGGCACTTGGAAACAGCTCCAGCAGCGCCTCCTGGGCGTCTTGTATGGAGGCAGGTCCCCTGCTTCGCCCGACCTGCGTGCTTTGATGCAGGGCCATAGCTTGGATTTCCAATTCATGGCCGATTACCAGACCATCTCCATGTGGGCCAAGCTCGTTCAGCTTGGCCGCGCTCGCTGGCAGCCCGGCGCCATGAGAGGAACTTGGCAGTATGCCGTTGCTGCCCGCCTTAAAAGCATGGGCTGGCATTTGCAGCTTGACGGCTCATGGACTCATCAGGCCATTCCCAGACGATGCATCACTTGGGCTAGGAACCTGCAGACCGAGCGCATCAAGCACTTACTCCGGGAAGCATGGCGGTTTGAACGCTTTGAAGCGTGGAAAGCCTCGAGCAGACTGGATGCTGTGGCTGCGGCTAACCCGACGTTCCAAGCAGCTCGAGTCAAGCAGGCTTGGCAGCTGTGGAATGCCACCTGTGCTCATGGCCGTGCAGTACTCACCAGTGTGCTCATGGCCGTGCAGTACTCACCGCTGCAGTACCTGGCGACGGCATGCAGCGTAGGACGGGTTGGCCCGTGGCAGCGCGTACCAAAGCCCAAAATCTGCGAGTGCTTGACCATCTTGCTACTGTCCGCAAGAGCCTTGTTGCATACCGATGCCTGTAAAGTTTTCTTCTTGTGTGCTTCAGACACATAAAATGCCCAGATTGCTGGAGATGCACAGGTTTTCCCCTGTTTGGGCCTGTCCCTCCCTTTGTGCCTGGTTGGGGGTTTTAGGTTCGTTAAGCCTGCTCCTTCCCTGCTGTCAGCATTCACTCGGAGTTGATCTCCCGATGAGTGTCTTTTCTCAGTGGCAATTCGACTTCGTCAACGGCGTGGTCAGGATTGGTGCTGCGATCAAATCTTTCGGAAAATGGACATCGAGTGGTCAGACTTTACATTTTGTGGAGTCCACCACTTTCAGGATGAAAACGGCCAGGTTCACCTAGATCAAATCAAGTTCTTGGCAGCATGCAAAACGATTGCTGTGCCGGCAGCAGTCAGCGGCCGCTCAGACGAGCCGTTGGGTGAGCGCGAACAGAAGCTGTCCCTTAGCCTGTTGATGACCGTGGCTTACGGCCTCCTCACGAGGCCCGACCTCGCAGTCTTTGTGTGTGCACTGCAACGCGAGTCCCACAAGGCAAAGGTCATTCACATGAAAAGGTTGAATGTGCTTTTGAAGTGTGCACAGGACAATCCACGCAAGCTTGTGTATCCAAAGATGCAATATCCTGACACTCTTCTTCAGATTTCAGATGCATCCTTCAAAGCACGTGCCGAAGATGGACTATCCGTGAGAGGATTGGTGAGTTTGCGTGTGGTGTCCACCGGCGTGAGGGAAGGCCACCGTGCAACGACATGTCACTTATTTGACTTTGTCAGCAAGGCGCAACGTCACGTGACTCGCAGTACATTTAGCTCAGAGCTTTTCTCGGCTACTGACGCCATCGACATTGGCTTACTCCATTCAATCCTCTTGCATGAGGTCAAGCAAGGTCCAATCACTGCTGAGCAAGCTAGAGGTATGATTGAGGGTAGTGTCGAGAGTGCTGTGGACGTCGACCTGGTCTTGGATGCCAAATCCGTGACAGCAGCTGCCACAGCTGCAAATGTGAAAGTTCCAGCAGAGCCATCTTTACTGCTTCATGTCATGTGGTTGAGGAGCCTTTTGAGCTCCGGTCGCCTACGAACATTGTACTGGGCAGATACACGCTCCATGGTGGCAGACGCTCTGACGAAGGGAAGCGTTTCTCGAGAACTCATTCATGCCGCGATGGGTGGTTCATTGATTATGGCGCAACCGTATGTCGAGCAGAAGCTGTCATGAATCCTTGCTGCAGACGCTGCATCAACCACAAAATCACCCGACTTGATGTGCAAATCCCATCCTTGTACGCTGTGCCGAAGCTGTGATCGATCAGACTGTAGTCGCTTACGTGAAAAAGACCTTTCGTGTTTCCTGCAAGTCATTCTGATTGAACTTTTAGCATGAACCCGGGGATGAACATGCCCATGATGCACCCATGCACTGGCATGCAGAATATGTCGATGGCCATGCAGGGTTCTGCAAGCCCGGCTGCTGCGATGCAGGGCAATCCGATAATGAATGCCCAGATGAATATGATGCCAGGATTCTCCCCCCCCACGGTGAATGTGTTGGATGACGATTCGGAAGAGGAACAGGAGGAGGAATCCGACACGACCACAGGACAACAACAGCAGGTGGTTCCGGAACCTCCTTCAGCATCGGGCTCGGGAAATGAAGTGCCACAGGGCCCTGTGACAGTTCCTGCTCATCCTGTGCAGCCCCTCCCACCACCCACAGACGGCTATGTTTACAACAAGGGGGAGGATGCCACGATCACAGGGAGCACAACAGTACTCAAAGGTCTTCCAAGGACAAGGCTTGTGGCCAGCTTGGAGAAATTGTACGGTGAGCTGGCGGCGGGACAGGAATTTCTATTCGTGTCACTTGTGTTTGTCTCTGCATTTGACAATTTGTCTAACATGATGAGAAGATGCTATGGACGCTGAGGCTGGGTACCTCAGTCAATGCAGCCAAAGGGGACTCTTGGTACTTCTCTGGATGCTGACGAGGCTCAGACCAAGTATCCGGCTCAGCCATCTCCGCGACTTGTCAGATGTTATTGCCAGAACACTATGAAAGAAATTACACTTTGGGTCACTGAAGGATCATGCCATTGCGGGTTGTTCGGCTGGTCGGTTTTTTCAGCTATTCATAAGAACATTCAATTGAGACTTCATCTTTGGCTGCGCAGGTGTGATATCCTACGAAGACTTGCACATGCGGTTCCAGACGGCATTCAGTCGTGTCCGACGGTGCGAACCACAGTTCATGGAACAGTTGGCCTCGAAGCTGCCCCTCAATTTGACAGACGCTGCGGTAGAGGAGATTGCCCGCCCTCTGGGCTGGCACGATTCATTCATGAAGCCTGTCAGCATCTGTTTGGCGAAGGCTCCAGGCTCAGGTGACGTTGGCAGGATTTTGCAGGCAGGACCGAAAGCAACAATGGCGCCAGCAATTGCCCGCCCAGCACCTGCGGCAGTAAGTGCAACTGCGAGCCCACCACCTGCACCGGCAAAGGCGCCTCTGCCGGCACATGCCAAAGCTGTCACACCTGCCCCGATCCTTGTCCCACCTGTGCGAGCAACGTCTGGGCCACCTCAGCCCGCAGCCCCTGCAGCACCCCGGGCGCCCCCTCCGCCCAAGCAGGCAACAGTGCCTTCAGCAGAACCATCAACAAACACATCCCCTGCTGTGGCTCCCAAGGCTGTGCAGACTTTGAGCAAAGCAATGCCAGCGATGCCCCGCGCATCCCCTGATGTTGTGCCTCCAGCCAACCCTGCCACAATTGAGCCCCAGACAGTGGAGCATGCTGTGGTTGAGCCAGTTGTGGCTGCAACACCCCCCGAGGATCCACCCGCTCCCGATGCAGCAGCCGGACCCCCAGCAACCCCTGCAGCTGGAACAGTTCAGCAGGACCAGCAAGAGATCCAAGCAGAGTCAGAGGACATTGAGCTTCCCATATGTCTCATTTGCCAGGACGGAATGGATCACACGAGTGTTGCTTGCTTCAGCTCCATCTCCAGTGTAGACCTTGTGAGTGTTGTGATGACCTCATTTGACAATTTGTTTTGGTTGCCAGGACACCAAGGATGAGGGGGAACAGGTCTTGCTGCAGCTCCACTGCGGGCATTGGTTTCACGAAGACTGTATCCTGCGTTGGGCGGAGTCGACAAACAGCAGACCAGCAAGTCGTTGCCCACTACGTTGCTTGATTCCGGAGCCGATGGACGTGGATCAGGGAAATCGCAATGGTCAGGAAGCCGACCATGGCTTCGAGATCCTCGAGAACACTGAACCCAATACAATTTTTGCTTGAGTGGCAGTAACTCAGTAGATCAATTCAGCAGTTGCACAGCATTTCATTGTCTTGCATGGGTATGGATGGCACATCAACAATAAAGACAACCAATTCAATCCTTAATACAATTTTCGCAGGGAGCCCAAAGCATGCCAATGGCTGTTGCACAGCTGACGATTACTGGATGCTGCATTGCCAATTGCGGCTCATCTCAGTTCCGACACAAGGCTGTCTTCAAATCCGTGAGGGGTTCGCGGAACAAGGGCGAAAAAAAGATTGCAATTGCACTCATGGCCAATGGCTTCACAAGTTCTCATGTGGTTGTTCGGTGCAGACATTTTGTCATGTCTCTGTAGCTTCCATTTCGCCTGGGATGTTCCACATAAATAAGAGGGACTTTTCCCCCCACGCAACAGGTATAAGTAAGGTAATGTGTGAACTGTAAATTACTTGGCTCAGCATTTGTGCAATAGGACTTTGACATTTCAAATCGCAAAGTTACAGTACACATAATATGTGACCATGGCTGAGCCATGTTTCCAGCATGTGCCCGCAAATGCAGACTCTTTGGTCATGGAAGGTCTTGCTGTGGCTTTTGGCCCGGTGGCATATCGCAATCCTGATGATTCCCAGCTGTACTGGGATCTGCAATATGTCATGGACAAGCTGATAATCTTGATTTCTTGGGATTGAAGAAACAAGAAGAAAACAAATTGAAACAAGAACAACGTCAAACACAATTGAGACAAACGGCAGTAGGAACAGGAACGTCATTAGGATTATTAAACGCACGTCAAGCACATCAAAGCGGAACATCAACCCCCTTATCTGCCGATACAGCTTCTTCTATGAGAGATGTGACTATTGAAGAATTAGACGCAATGACCGCGGGAATGATAAGAGACTCGTTAGAAATGGAACAGCGAAGACACGACGAAAGAATGGTATTAGCGAGAGCAAGAGCATCAACTGATTTAGGTGAAACGCATAGCCAGTCTTTACCCGTTGGTGTTATGGATGGTGAAGAAGAAGAAGAAGGAGAAGATATAGAAGAAGGAGAGGAAGAAGAAGACTTCGAACAAGATGAAGAAGTAGACGAAAATGAGAAACAACGAATATTGAATTTGCTTGATGAATTGTATTCATTCAAGATATCAAGAGATGAAGCAAAAGAAAACATAAAAAACCTTCCGTTACATGATTTTTCATTGATTAATCCTAAAAAAGTAAATTTAAATGGATTATTTACTCTATTTAGAATAGCACAAAATCAAAAACGATTAAATCAAGAAGAAATAAATACATTTGACAAACTTTTTAATGAAAATTCTGCAAGAGCAGTTGGTAAAAATAGGGAAGACATAAAAGCAAAAACAGAAGAATTATTTATTAATGCTTTTCATGATGACGACCCAGAATTAATTCCAGCCGACGTAGACGAATCAACAAAAGCACCAGCCCAAGCGAGAAGACACAAGGAAACTATTGATTATTCAACAAAAATAACGAAATGGCAAGACAAAAGCGTTCAAGAAGACGACATCAGATTTCAGTTATTCTTGAGAGGCATAGAATTAACACCAGAACAAGAGGAAGAAATAGCAAAACTTAAAGTAAAAGGAAAAGGAAGGAATCAAACAAGAAAAGATTATCTGATAAACTATATAGATAGAATAATACAAACGGGCAGATGGACTGACCAAGTCAACGACCAATTATTACAAAAGAGAATGGTGGAATGGCGAGAAATGAAGAAAGGCAAAGGTAAAGGTGGAACAAGTGCATTAGTTCCTTCTCAATCATCATCTTCAAGCACGGCAAAAGATATTTTGGTAAGTGGAGCAAAGGCAGGAGTGGAAACATTAGCAAAAGCGGGTGCAACAGCGTTAGCAAAATCCTTTTTGCCAGTTTAAAATATCAAGTAGTATATATATATATATATATATATATGTTAAGATTACGCCCAACATTTGAACAAATTGAAAGGGAAGCGAGAACAAGCAGATTAAGAATATTACCAGAACGTCAAAGAAGAACACAGCAAGGGATATTATTAGATGAGGTTGATTTTGACGATTTTGATTTAAGCAAATACGATAGAAAAACGATAATGTTAAATAATGATAATAATCCAGAGAAAGGAACGCAAACAGATACATTCAACGAAACAGAAAACGAAAGTATGAAAACACCAGAAGAAGAAATTAAGGAACGGATAGAAGAAGAAGAAGCCGAAAGCGAAAACATAACTGAAAACCAACAAGAAGACGAAAGAGAAAGAACGCAAAAGAAATCAATAATGCAAAGAATTTATGGCGGTGTATTTGGCGAAGATATTTATAGCGAAGAAAGAGAAGAAATGCAAAACAGAAGGCAACAAATTGAAGATGATGATTTCGAACATGAAACACTTATCGAACCACAAAAGAGCGAAGAGTCCGATGATAGCTTACCCGTAAATGTTAAAAAATCTTACGAACCTTCGTCGGAATCATCAAGTTCTCGTAGAAGTTCAGACAGAAGCGTATTATTGCCCGTTGAAGAAGAAGCATTGAGCGAATACATTAATTCGTCGCAACCCGAAACAGTTGAAAGTTCTAACAGAACTATCGAATATGTTGATGAAGCAACTCCGCCCCAAAGCGTGATAAGTTCAAGACGTTCGCAAGAAACTATTGAGTATATACGAAGCAGGAGAAGCTCGAGGGCATCAGTCCAATCTATAAGCTCATAAAAGCATTTAAAGAGTAAAAAAAATGAAATACACTTAAAGGCTTACCACGTTACTACTTTAACCGCAATGACACCCCAGCCAGAAATCATAGAAGAAACAAGCACAGAAGAAACACCCGTTAAACAAAGGAAGAGTGCCCCATGGCGAAGAAATGCCGACGGGACATATAATAATAAACCATCTGACCCAGAATATTTTAAAAACTAC